TATGGAAATACCTCAGAAAACTAGGATTGGAGGTCCCATTTGACCCAGCTATTCTCCTGCTGGGTATCTTCTCAAAAGAATGAAAAGAATCATACCACAGTGATATATGCACACCCGTGTTTATAGCAGCACAGTTTGTAATAGCTAAATCTTGGAAACAGTCCAATTGCTCATCAACTGGAGACTGGATAAAGAAGATGTGGGTTTTTTAATTAAATGGAGTATACTCAGCTATAAAGAATGAGAAACTAGAGACGTTTATAGCTAAATGGATGCACACTGAGGCCATACTCTTAAGTGAAATAAATAGGACATACATGTATAAATATCGAATAGTTTCTCTGGTGTGAAAAACTAAAAGTGTAAATAAGGTTCAAAATGTATAACTGATAATGTGAGATAGGAAGAAAAGGTCTAAAGGAGTAGGGGAAGTAGGAATGGTAGGGGAAAGGAAATAAGGGAAAAGAAAAAATATGAGAAAAGGAAAAAATGGAAACAAAGTCTTTGTAAATAGGGAAGGGTGGAGGTGGTGAAGGGAAGGCAGGGGAATGGGGAGAAAAAAAAAAAAGAACCAAGATACATCATGTAAAGGTACAAGACCCAATGATGAATGTAACTGTCTTGTATACCTAAAAGGTACCAATAAACTTAATGAAAAAAAAAAAAGAAGAGAAAGGGCTTGGCCTATGAAATCAGATATACCTTTTCTTCCATTCCAAATTCCAAAAGCTCTGAAGAAACTTGCACCAAAATTCATTTGGTGGCAGAAAGCCACCTAAATTGATGCAGGTTACTGATGTGAATATTTGTAGGTTTCACAATAGAAATACGAACATGTTGCTCTAGACCATGCAGAAGCTACAGCATAATATATAACAGATACATTATATGACTTTTTTAAAAATCCAGAAATTGCTAAATGCCAAAATCTATCTAAGGAGATGAACCTCTAATTGAATTTGACTCCTAGATTTCCTATTTATTTGCAGTATAACATTGGGAAAATTACAGTTTCCTCATCTGTAAAACAGGAATAAATGGTAATATCCATGCAAGTATTGGCTATTATTTATTATGTATATGTTTTAGGTGTGTAGCAACAGCTATCATTTATTTGATGATAGTTAGAAACAATTCCAGGCTCGGTGTGGTAGAGCACACTTATGGTCCCAGCACTCAAAGGCTGAAGTGGAAAGATCACTTGAACCTGGGAATTTGAGACCAACCTGGACAGCATAGAAAGACCTCAACTCAAAAACAAAAACAATCAATACCAAAAGTTTCAGGCCTGCCCTAAATCAACAGGAAAAATAAACAGGCTGCTTTTAGTGAATACCAGCAGCTTCCCAGTAAGTGAGACAAATGGAACCAAAAATATGGTTTACAACCTCATGACACCAAAAAGCCCAGTAATTGTATACACCCCTGAACAGACCATCCTTGGGCAGCTAAGTCATAAATATGTCACCCCAGATTTCTTAGCCCCTTCAATACCTATATAAGCCTAATTCCTTTCCCAGTTAATTGCTAATAATCTCTTTTCCCTGGTGTTAGCCCATTCTCTCAGGGATGAAATCTCTCTCAGCTAGCTGCCACTATCTTTCTCCCATTGTCAGCCCATCTACACATGGAAGTGATAAACTCAGCTTTTCCCAGCTAGCTGCTAAAATCTCCTGATTTCTGGTCCCTGTTAAATGAAATAAACTTTTATTTTTCTCACAACGAAGAGCCTGTTTTTTGTAACAAAAAGATTAAATAATCAAGATACAGCTTACTTGTGAGGGCCAACTTGATTTTTCTGAAATACTTCAAATGTCTGATCCACAAAATCAGCAACAAGTTTTTCATTCATGTTCACAGTTCCAAGGATCAGGTTATATCCTTTCAACTCTGGGAATAGGATAGATTCCACCTAAAGAGCAGAAGCCAAGAAGCAAGACAGTATCAAAATGCAAAATCTCCAGCAATGGGCTAACTTCCAGGAATGCCAGCAGCACTGTAAAAATATTTCTTCAATAATGTTGGAACTACCCTGCTGTTTCCTCTCTATTTTCTCTCTCTCTCTCTCATTCTTGCATAGATTACTTTTCTTTTAATACCCTGTTCCTTTCTTGTCTCTTGTCTTTGGAATCCTCCTGGCCTCCTCAGAGAATCTTCTTGGTCCCTTTCCCTATTGAAAGATCATTTTTTGGACTTTTTCTGCTGGGCTCTTATCACACCTGCAATTAATGAATGTGTAATGAGCTATTCTAGGTATGACCTGGAACAAATACTATGAGAACCTGGGTATTATTTCACTTCTTTGTTGGGACCTCAAAGTCTATAGCTAGAGATTGGTATTTAATGAATGCTCAATAAATACAGTATTGTGTGATTAAATGAATATTGTGGTGCTGCCCCCCTTTTTCTCCCCCAGTACTCACTTTCCTCTCTAATGAAAGCTACTGACTCTATCTCTAACACACTAGGTAAACTACTACTCTTGGAACCTCCATATTCTCATCTTAATGTTCACGGGAAACAAAGCTATGACTTCATGATCATAAGGCCTTAAGATTATCTTTCCTGAGAGATGAAACTCTCCAACTTGTTAGTGGCACATTTGTGTCTCCAAGAATGTTCTCATTTGCAAGACTCCTGCAGGCTGAAAAGTTCTACTGGGGACCCATGTATTCCCAGTGCCCTCTTTGCTAAGAAAGTTTTTAGTGATTGGCCACAGAAAAGATCTTCCTAAGTTATATGTCTTTGGTGAGAATGCATTAGTTTAGAAAGGGGAGAAAGAGACTACAAATGATCTTTGTCATCTGGAGGTGCAACTTCTTTGCAGTGGCCGTGTTTGCAGACAGTGGCTGAAGGCAGGAAGACGGAGAAACTAGCATTGGTCAATGGTGAGGGTGCAATGGCTTGGGGCAGCACAATTGGTGCCCCATGCCATGCAACAGATCCCAAGTGAGCAGGACAATGGATCATCTCTTGAGAAGAAATCTTCAATCAAAAGAGGAAGGTAGTTCTTTTTGCCTTTTCACGATTGTGGTTCTCCCATGCCCCAGAGTACAGCCTGTGACATTAAAACAAGAACAATCTAGTTCTTTATAGGTAACTATTGTCACAACTATTTTCTGGATCTCTCCCTGGCTTTCTGATCCTGGACTCTTTGGTCTTGTCATCACCCTCAATGCTGGCATCTGTGTACTTTTGACTTTGACATTCCAAGGCATTTTGAAGGAGAGAATTCTCTTAGGAGAGATACTGGCCCTTTTCCATAGAGATAGATACATTTTTCCTCATGAAAGTAATACAGTGCATTTTCAGTTTTATAAAACTCTCATTTCCTCCAGCTTCATTTTATTCCTGCCTCTCATTCAGCTCTTTTGATTTCAGGTAAGATTACAGCATCCTTGTTTTTCTCAGTTGCATAGCTGAGACCAACAATTTCTACTATTTACTTTGGTTTCCTGTAGCAACTGTCACAAATACACCTCCTTTCTGTAACTTAAATACTATTTATTTTCAGAAGTTTCTAGCTGACCCACCCTGCTTTTTTCATTTTTCTCTTTCTCAGTTTTTAAACTAGTATATGTTTGTAATACATAGTAAATACCTTAATGGTGGGGGAACTGGTGCATATACATATATATATTGAATCTTTTTTTTTCCCATTAACTTTATTGGTACATTTTAGGTATAAAATACAGTTACATTCATCATTGGGATCTCGTACCATTACCTGAGTCTCTTGGT